TGTGCCAAAGGGATAAAAAGGTTTGTCCTTGTAGGATTTGAGTCATATTTTTCAGGTTGCGTTGTATTATTTTTTTATCAATCGATACAGTTGACAGCTTATTTATTTTCCGATTTTCTTGCTTGGTTGTAAGATTTCACGATTTTTTTGTATTTTAACGACGTATTTTAATATTTAACGTACACGTTGCAAAAAGTGTATGAAAAACTAACTTCTTGATTTAATATTCGTGTTGCTTGCAATAATACGGATGGAATAAAAACCATTTGTCTTCCACAATGTTTTTTAAGTACGTCTTGTACATTTACTTTCAGTATTAATACTGTTTAAGAATATCGAAATAAAGTACATAACTGAAAACTATAGCGAACCATACGAATAGCATCGACATAATTTTTTTTTCTAACTTATAGGTAATCTATGGACTTCCCTTCGGTGACTAAACGTTGTGAACAAAACATAAATAAAAATGGTATTGACTACTGCCTAACTAATAAAATTTACTCGATTCCAACAAAGCTGGTAACAAATTGGTCTGGTCACTCGTCATAATTGAGGGCCGCAATTAAATTGATTTACTGACAACAAACGCTTAGTAGTTAGCTTGAGGCGCGGTTTGAGCCGTTCACTTCTGCAATTGGCGAATTGTTTCGCTCTCCCGATTGTTACTCTCCCGCCAGCCATCTTCTAACGGGCTGCACTAAGCAGTACAAATCTATGTTGGCCTATAGATAGAGAATGTTGTGACTTTTTCATTTAAAGGTCCCACTACTGTACAAGTGACAATATACTACTGTTTGTGCGCTAGTCTAAACACAGTACTGTTACGGTACAAAACACAGGGCCAAGACGGATTGACCACATTGATGGGACAGAGGAAACAGCTGGAAAATGAGTATACCCCCAATTTATAAATAGAATAGATTTAACACTAGAAACAATGTACATCAAAGTTATATATGCCATTTTAACTTTATTGAGTCGTTTTGTTTTAATTTCTTGTAAACAATGTCCTTCAATTAACATCCTTGGTATACTTGACATTCATTGAGCCGCATGAACAATCCATTGAATACCCGCTTCAGCATTTTTTTTTTTCAATTTCTTACGTGATTCTTGGCTTTGGTTCTATTAAAACCAGTACTTGGACTTGGACTTTGACACCCCTTTAAAATGTTATGCAGTAAAAAACATTGTTATTTAGGTTTATGCAGTAATGGTTTGTTGTTAACTTAAACAAACCCTAAGAAAACACGCGTTATTAATTTTTTTATACCACCAGTCTAGTTCTCTGCTACCGATGTTTACGAATTTCAATGAAACAGAGTTCAAAAAACCATACAAAAATGGGTTTTTATATAAGGAATCTATAAGCATTCTAACCTCACAACAGGTTGAAGTATTCCACTAACTGTAACAACGACACGAATCCATTACTGGAACGATCGTAAGAACGTAACCACATACTTCACTGTTTAACGTAAAGGAGTTGATTAATAAAGCATATCAAGATCGTTGAACCCGCTAAGCCTTATTGAACAGTTTTTAATGGAGCCATACGGTAGATGACAACAACCATTTCCTGATACTATATTGTACGTCCCATTTAGATACGTTTTTATCAAATGATAGCGGCGCTGGCTGGATGTAATTTTATTTTATGACAATATTACCATGAGTATGTGGGTCGATGAGTGTTTTGTGCACCTAATATACTATAGTCTGTATGAAGGAAGATACCTCCGGACTCCGTCTACCTGGGATTGACCCAGCCTATGTAGACCTAGCCAGGAGACTGGTTCCATCATACAGACTATACGACCAGCTAAATAACTAGGCGAGGGCCTAAAAATATTATTTCAGCTATTCAGTTTCGATGACATAATCTTACTATTTTACATCTATACTATAATAAAATAGATAATAGACTGGCTGCTTTCCCATCAAGCAAAAATTACCAACAAAAATTAATCTACAAACATTTTACACAAAAAAATAGTACACGATTTATTGTAGGTAAAAAAAGTTTTGATTTAAACTTACACCGCTAACTCCGGGAGGAAAAATGAACTTTGGACAGTACACACAGAATGGTCGCAACGACAACGGTAAGAAAATCACCAAGATTACATGTGATTTGCTTACTTTCTTTGATGCAATTATTGTTAGAGTGTCAAAGGTCACAGAACTAATCACATTAAATAAACTTGAATATCTTGTAAGCTGAGTGACAGGAATATTATGGCGATACTTGTAAGAAGCAAGTCGTTCAAAGGACTTTATTCTAGGCTAATACACCGTTGCGATTCACAGATTAAGCTGCTATAAGTTAACTAACAAGACATTTTATAGTACTTTACCATAGCATATTTCATAGAATACAAACGCAACACACCAAGGAACGACACTGTGTTATAGTACAAGAAAACTACAACTTAATACAACATTAAGCAACTAGAACAAACCAAAACAACCCCGTGAGTGCAGGTGAGTTCAATGACCTGAGTCACTATGATAGCAAGGTGAAGGTCGTGATACGACCTTGGTTGGAAACGACCTTGGAACCACTATCTATGAGGCAGTGCACCCAAGTCTCCGCACCGGCTAGCTGCACGCACTGCACCGTGTTTTATATGATATTATTATGAGTCATTTTATACTTTTTTATTCACATTTTGGATTTTCCTGCCTCGGTTACAGGTCGTCCATAGAATTTTGCAAAGTTACCTGTAAAATCGTTAGAGTTCTGGATCAATCGATTTTTTCCGGAATACTTAACTGTGCTATAAGTATTCTGTGCAGGTATTTCGGTGCTATGGATTTGTTATAAGAACATTTTAAACATTGGTAAAGGCAGGAAATTCATGAAGATATTACATGGTTACGTTTTGTTTTGCGCCTAACTGTTGGTTACACAAGAACAATCTTCCGTATAAATTGTGATTTCAAATAGTAATTTAAATTGTCCATCAGGAGAGTGGGAAATAATTTCGATGTAGTTTTATGGACACTACGTATTTCTTCTGCAATGGACTGTTACGCCAAGACCTATAAGAGATGTTTTATAATTGACAGAATAACTGTTTTCAATTGCAAGCCGAAGTGATAGAAGTACGTAGCGAATGCGTGTTCATGACTAGAAACGCTCCAGGCTTCTTCATGGACAAGTCTGGTTCGAATATGATATCCCATGAGTTATTACTGTAATACCTATCTATACTTAAGTGCATGCAACAGCAATATACCATTTATATAGCAATCAAGTTGTGTTTATAAGTCGAAAATTATAGAGCTGTATTAAATATTGACATGTAATATTTTTGTACAAAAATGTATTATTTAGGTATTGTAATACACTTACGAATTGTAATTGTAATACAATTCGTAATCCATTTACGAAAAGATAAACTACATAATTACTATTATATCATCAGGTTCACGGTGAAAAACCATCCCATTTCAATTAATTATTACATAGAAATAATTATTTTATCATTCTAAAATGTCCACAGTACCTTTACTCACATTTGTTCAAATCGAAGCAGTAGAAATTCCTATCAAAGAATGTTTCTCATATCTCTTTATGCAATACAAACTATAACTCCATTAATAATAACTCCATTAACCTTAATCTAAAAATCTATTTCAAATATTTTTTATCCTCAGTGCCAACACTAAGAGAACACAAAGTTTACTAATAATTTTATTTATTTATTACTATTTTTTTATATTTTGTGGTAATACCAGACGCGAAAGCCTATAAATTAAAACTTCACTCATCAAATTCCTTCAAAACCGTTGAAATAGGCCTAGGTGACTCTTCATAGCCTCCCATAGTGTTGAAAAGCACTTTCATCCTAAAATGAGCTATAACGATTGGATCACCTCATTATTCACTCTGATTATAATATCGCATTAAACATTGTTAAGCACTTTTTCATAAATTTGAGGAACTTTACAACAATTTTCTTTTAGTTTTGTTTTATCACCTTCAATGTACCTCTTCAGTCAGTTTGTATTTCAGATCTTTTTTTTTCTTTCCTTTCATTCAGCTTAATACGTTTCCATTCTTTTCGACCGTTGTTATTATCACACTTTCAACCCCTTTGTATATTTCAACTTAAACGTTCTGAGTTTGTTTTTAAAATTTAAAGGAAGCTTTTTTCTTCTATTGTGTGTTGTAACACTCTCTTGTCTTCCTAGAGTTTGGTTATTTTCCTGCTTATTTTAGGTAAATGTGTCCAAATATGACACCCCAAGATTTACGTTTATTTTTTTTCTTTAAAGTACCACCCCTCAAAAACTTAGAACCTCTTGATCTTCTAACCTCTTGATCTTCTCATCTACGTATAAATCTCATAGAGTATGTCCCTAAGTACATTCTCCATGCACATAGCGCAATCTATCCCCTAAAAATTTGAGTATAGTGGTGGTTGAGGGTTTTTAGAAGTACTATGTCTAACATCTACTGCCTGCCATCTGTTAATTAGATCACATGTTGCAATCATTGTTATAATCTGTTTACATTTTGTTAGTTCCTTTCTCAGCCATGTTCAATCAACTATCGATTGTCTTTCACCTTTTTATTTCGTGAAATCGTATTAATATTACCAATCATCATAGGGTTTATGAAACCTCCCAAGATTGAAAAGCACTTTCATCCCAGAACAAGCCGTGACAACCCAATATATATTGTTATGATTGCAAAGTAAATATTGACTTATTTCAATAATACATCCACTTAACTTTCTTTTCTTAGCATTCTTCAATATTGTTCAAACCCCTCGGGATTTTCTAATAGCTAAACACTTAAAATGTCTATTCAAAATATCATTCCTCGAAAGTTCGAAACCCTTGCATATCCCTCTGTCGTGCACCGTGCACACGCCGTGAGTCGTCCCCTTGACAGACGACTGTGCCAGTGGTGACGGTGGAGGGGGCGACGGACGACGGACCGCGGCGAGCGGGCGACTCTAGGTCCACAATCTCGTCAGTTGTGCCGTGAACTTCCTCGTGGAGCGTACCTAGCAGGAGCGTAGCACGGCCGTGTAGGATATCCATTGGTGAGTCACATTCACATACTGACTAGCAATGAGGCATTAGTAGACTACGAGTTCTTTCTTTAAATCTTTAATCATCCTTTAATTAAATATAATTTTTTGAAATTTTATGTTCGATATTAGAAATTGGTCCATTTACATGATTTAAATTGTTGCGTTAGTAAAATTTGAATTACATATTTTTTCAATAACTTTTTTTGTAAGACGATTAGCATTAAATTAAATACTTCTGTTATTATGAGGATGGATGGGTTATGAGGATGGATGGGTTATGAGGATGGATGTACTTACGTTTAAATTTAAATAAAACTATATCGTTACAAACAAAATTATACATTCATACAGGTTTTTACGTGTTGAGTTAAACCTTCTAACAGTTAAAAGTCATCAGTAAAGGAAAGTGTAATTTGTATTATTTAGTTTTCTAATTAATGAATTTCATCTAAGACTTAACAGAAAACAACAAGTTAATTTGCACAATACAATATACAAACGAACGTAAACGTAAAATAGACTTCGTCAGTAATAAGTCAATTTACAAAACTTTCAAGAGGCTCTATGTTAACGCAGAACACCATTTTACAGGAACAAAGTAATTTCAACGAGTAAAATCAACTGATAACACACAACGGTTTTGCACTAAGGTACAAGCAATATATTCGCAAGGTTTACAAAGAAATACGTGAAATCAAATTAAATGGTAAATAAGATTTGCAATAAGGTTTATCAACTTTACTAACAGTTGACAACTTGTTTGATCAAATTACGTCAGGAAGCTATAGTATATTTTACGTTTCTGGCGGATAAAACTACTTAAATCTTGTTTAAAGATTTTTTTTCAAAATAATGTATATGAAATCTTTTGATTACGTTAATACTGATAGTACTCTAATGGACTAGATTTTTAAAGACTATACATAATAAAACGAATTGACTAGCTGACAACCTTATGCGAAGTTGATTAGTGTAAATTAGTCTATTAGTCTTTTACTTTCGTTTTACAGTGAAAAAAAAAACAAAGTTAAATAACATAAATAACTATATTATTGAGACATCAAGCATTTATTAAATATTTAATCTCGAAATATTTCCAAATAATGTAATTATTTAAGGTATGCACTCATAATTATTATTGTAATGCGTAATATTACGATATTTAGTAAACGTGATATTAAAAAATACTAGCTACAAAATTTGAAATTTTCTAATTTTTAATTGTACTAATAAATTGAACAAGTAGGATGGTTGAATCCAAATGAAGAAATCGTGTAATTACTTCTCAGTACTGTAGAAGACATGTAAAATCGTAAAAATACCACATTATTTATACAATAAATTAGATACGTAGAAAATAGTTGCTATAATGATATTTTCGAAATTTATCTACGATCTCTACACTAATAAATTTCAAAAACGTGCAGAGGTAAACCCAAATGTAAAACTCATTTAGGTAATTGACCTGTTGTGAAGGTAATAACATAACAATATCACATTCGTTTTTAGAGTAGATCCGGTATAGGAAAATATTAAAACAAAATTCGCTTAAATATTTATTAGAAAAATGAAAGAGTGAATTATTCTTACATTATAAACTAAATGCATTCTATAAAAACGAAATAACAAAAAATCTCGATAAAAAGTATTAAAAAATATATAAATCAGGAAAAATGTTTATGTTTTACATGGATTAAACAAAATTTACGTATTCCTCTCCAACTTAATTGATCTAAATATAAACACAAGCCGAGACCTTGGCCGTCCGTGAACCTAAGTGTACACCTAGCCGTGGCACCGGTCAAGCCGGTCTGTTGGTAACCTCGTTGCTGCTATCTTTAGTAAACATTAACATGATGAAACGTTCAGTTTACAACCAGAAAAACCCGCAATCGGTGGACGACCTCCGCGGAAACGGACGGTCTAATGGAGCATAAACGTGAAGACGTAATGTGATTAGTGAATGGTCGCATCCGTCAGATCAGAGTGTACACTTGTGAAGTAATCTGCACTCACTTCACACTATTAGTTCACTTGCTGCTGTCGATAGTGCATAATTAATTTACCATGACGAATTGTGTATTACTTTGCATACAAGTCCTAAAATAATACCAATTTCATCAGCGATGGTTCTGAGATTATCGATAGGTTCCAAAATAAAAGTTTGGAACATTGTCTGTAAATTCACTACCACTTTTTTAGGTTTAAATGTTATAACTACCCATAAATAATATTTAGGTTGCGTACGGTTGGATTAGAACCAAGAAATAATATAAACCATAAATTCTGATTTCCTTGTTTGAAGTTCATTGACCAACCCTTTGAACAACATTAATTCTGATTTGTTAGCAAAGAAATGAATTGATATTATAAGGCCTTACCTTAGCAATCAGGATTGCTAAGGTAAGGCCTTATAATATCAATTAATGTATAAGCAATCCAGAGGCTAAAATGATTGAAAGAAATGAAGTTGCTAGGGAAAATGTTTTGGAGACTTAAACGGGTGGTTAGACTATAGAGTTAATAAAATAAATTAAAAGTGCATTAAATTCTAGAAAATGTCAATGAAAGAAATCGTTTTTGCTAAGCTTCCTGTGGTTTCACTTTCAACACTTTATATTAATTGTTTTATAATCTTAATCCTCCACAAAATATTAAACGTAAAGTGTAGTAAAAACCGTAGATAATCCGTGTAGTAAAAAAAACACATCCATTTTAGCGAATTTCCCTATAGGGAAGTAGCTATTACCGTAGGTCTCATGGTAAGACTTAGGCCCGGGACTGATTTACTTTTTCATTTTAATGTCACCAGAGGCCAAAAACACCATTCGTTCAAATTTTTATATATGTATATATATATATATATATATATATATATATATATATATATATATATATAGATAGATTTATATATATATATATGTGTCCGTGAACACGATAACTTGAGTAATTTTTATCCGATTTTGATGAAATTTGGTTTGAAGGTGTAAGGCGGGATAAACTTGAAGGAGTTCGCGATCCAGCATGATCGGACCATGGGAACAGGGTTTTATGGGGGGTTTTATGGGGTAAAAATTGGTTTTTCTCACTTCTTACCCTCAAAACACAAAATTTCCCAATTTTTCTCTAAACCTCCTTAAAGAGCTTAAAAAAACAAACAATTCAGTATATCAAAGTGTTTTTGTACGGTTATTGGTTACGGAGAAAACTAAAAAAATGGTAAATTTAAAATTCCCATGTTATTCTTATGGAGAATATTGTAAAATGTTGTAGTTTGCTTGTTTATGGATATATTTTGATCAAACTTGGCAAATTTATTTATTTTATAGTAAGCTATAAATATTTTACTAAAAACACACTACTTTATTAGTTTCCTTGTAGCAGCAAACTTAGGTACTCGTTAAACCTAATGTTATTTAAATAGATCAATTGAAAATCAATTCGGCCAAATGGAAATTCGCTTAGACGGCAGGTTTGCTGCGGCGGGGGTATTTTTATATTTTTTTATATTTACAGAACTGTTAAAGTTAAATGAAAATTCTCAGAGTTGAAAATTGGCCCTAAGTTTATAAAATTTAATTGAAAGTGAACAGTCTAGACGTAGTGTAAACAATATCGTAAGTAACCCAATCACCTTAACATGCTTCCGGCTAGAATTCTGTAACAAACTGTCCTTAGGTAAAACTTTTTTTTACACAGTTCTAAAGGATATTTTACTTTTAATATTTTTTTTTTATTTTTATTGCAGTTTGAAATATTAACAAATTGACTCAAAATGACTTCAATTTTGAAACCCCTGTTTGTAAATACACTATAATACATTGTGAAAACGTATACTGTGCACTTTTCGCCCATTTGTCTCAGCCTCAAAGGGAATTTAATAAGCTTAATGTTGCCGATAAACAAGCACTGAATTGAATTTACACCGTGGTTAAAGCAAAGTCACTGCATAATGCGGGCAAAAACACCTGTAAAAACTAGATTTGTGGCGAGAGGAGTACAAGATTAGCGGTGGCGGTTCCGTGAACTTCCGCAGACACATGTCAATTAAAAGGCACATGTTGGCATGTAGCATGTAGGTGCCTACCTAATGGGGTGAACACATTGCCGCCTGCCCTCATAGGAAACACAGCCGTTCACCTTTAGGACAGGTGGTGGAAGACAGAGTAATGGATATGTCAATTCGACAATGTTTGTAAACAATTCCTACAATTTCTTCTTGGGCAATTGGACTGTAAGGTCAATTTAAAACAAAGCATGAATTGCATCTAATTACGAGGATGTATAGAACATTTGAGTAAGATAAGAACTAGACATTCTATTCCCATGTTAAAGTTGTTGTTATATTCATAATAAGTATCAACCTAGTTCAACTTAACCACCGACAGTGTACTAATGTTACTGATTTTTTTTAATACTAACAATTTTAACAAAGCTAAATTTATATGACAACGAATTGTAAACAATTGCATATTTTATGTTACACCAACTATCACGGTAACAAAAACTGAAGGGGGGAAATATTATTGAATACTGTAGAACATTCTTGGAGGTGCTAATTCATATGATTTCAATTTTAATACATGGCTACAGATGGTCGTTAAAGAAGGCTTTTCTACTTCAAATTCCAAAATCAATGATGGAACCAACTTGATTAAGTCTCACATCAATGTTGAATTCGAAACACCTCGAGCGTCATCGAACCAGATTTAAAACCACCAAAGATTGTAAGTTTCAAGGTCTTTGCACACTTTGAGTTATTTATTATTTCGTGACCAACACCCCGAAATTAAACAATCCTCACGTTTGAGTCAAAATTAAATATTTTCACACGCGTCTACTCGCTAAGTAATTTAAATATGCATAATTTCAACATTGCGTTCAAGTGTCTTCTCAAATTACAAGATTTAGCGGTTGGATATAAATATCTCAAATTGTTCCCGCTAGGAAGAAGTAGTTATAAAATACTCGGCTTCCCAAATGGTTTAGTTGGAAGTTGAGACTCCCGA